CCCGCCCCCCCCCCCCCCCAGGTACCCGGTGACCAGGAGGCCTGCCGGCAGCGGCCCTGCCCACGTCTGGATCCCTCAGCCCGGGCGGCTCTGACCGGGGGCGGGGAGTCAAGCGACCGGGAGCCTGAGCGTCCGCCCAGCACCTCGGCCCTTCTGTACCGTCAGCCGTCCTGGCCGAGCCCGCCCTCCGCTCAGCTGCCCGGAGTCGGCCGGGGCCGTGAAGGGGCCGGGACCCCGCAGCAGCCCCGAACCTGCCCGCTGCCCTCTCTGGGCGGCTCCCCAGGCGGGGGAACGCTGGCCCCAAGCTGGCGGCCTTCCAGTCTGTAACTGGCTTGTGGCTTCCTCGGGTCCTGCAAATTCCGGCTCCCGGGCCTCCCCTGGGGAGCTGGAAAGGGCAGAAGCACGGAGGGAGCCTGCAGGGCCCGAGAAGAGCAATGCCCGCGGGTGCCCTGGGGCTCGGGCAGCACTGCGGGGGGGTGGGGAGGGGACTGTGGCCCCTCGCGGCACTGCCCGCGGTGCAGATGTGGTCGCCCTCCGGGGCTCCACAGTTGGAAGCAAAGAGAATGACCCATGAAGAGAAGGTGCCCTGGAGCCCTGTTGCCCGCCTCTGCCTCAGCCTGGGGATTCCTCTTTGGCAGAAGGTGTCTGTCTGTCCAGGGGATTCTGAGGAAAGCCTTTGAAGGAAGCCCCTTTGAAGGGCTGAGTGGGGAGTGTTTAGGAAACAGCCTGACTGGGAGAGAAAGAAGACTGCCACACCCCAGCCACACACGAAAGGCCTCAGCTCGACTCAGAGCATGCTCCAGGGGAGAGAAGAGGGGCTGTCACAAGGGAAAAGCCCTTTCCCCATCGGGGGTGCCTGGCCATCCCCTCTCCAGGTGGGCGCTCTGCACAGAACACCTGAAAGGCAGAGCTACCCAGAACTGGACCTGGCACTCAGCAGGTGTGTTTGAAAAATAAATCATAACTTGATTCCATCCTCAGTTTCCAGGCTGCAAAGTGAACGACCTGAGAAGACAAACACACAGTCATCACAAGGAAGCGCTGCGGCTGTGGGTACAGGGGGAGCCCAGGCAGGAAACTTCTCGCCCTTTCTTCCTCCTCCCTGAACTCCAGCCTCTGAATTCCAAGCCAGTGAAGGAAAAAGGAGATGCAGAGACCAGATCCCAGAGTTGCTCCAACCTTTTTACAACCCGTTGTAGGAAGGGTGTGCCCCAATCCTTACACGTGTTCCTTCTCATTTTATTTAAAAAAAAAAAAAAAATCAGCATTTCTATAGTGATTTTTTTTTTAGTCCGCAAACCTATTGCTCACGTCATACTCACGACTGCTCAGTGAGTATTTTGGTCTTTTCAGAAGAGGGATCTAAGACAGAGAAAAGTTAAGCAAGGCACTCCACAGACTGATCTATTGGTCAGTATCATCCAAATTAGAATACAAGCAATTTATTTTGTTTTAGAAATTGACAATCTACTTCCAAAATTCATGGAGAAACGCCAAGGCCCAAAAATGACAAAAGAACAAGACCGGAGCGTCTACAGTACCTGATATCGGGACTTATCATAAACATGGCAACTAAGACACTGTGCTATGGATGCAAAGACAGGAAAACAGCCAGTGGAACAGAAGAAAGAGTCCAGAAATAAATCCACACATACATAGACACTGGATTTACCTCGAAAGCTCCAGTGCAGAGGACTGGAGGGGATGGTCTTCACAATAATTGGTGCTATGGCGGCTGGTGTTTATATATATTTGTTGTGTGCGTGTGTGTGCATGTGTATGTGCGTGTGTGCGTGTGCGCGCGTGTGCATGTAGGTGTGTGTGTGCATGTGTGTGTGTGTGGGTCTGTGTGTGTGTGCATGCGTGTAGGTGTGGGTGGGTTGTGTGTCTGTGTGTGTGTGAGCACGCGTGTGTGTGTAAACAAATCTTGCCCCCCCCACCCCACACCATACGTCAGTTCTAGATGGATTGATGGTCTAAATGTGAAAGATAACAAAGTTTCTAGGAGGAAACAGGAAAATATCTTCTTGATCTTGAGCTCAGGACACTTTTCTTAAACAAGACACCAAAAGCATTAACCATAAAGGAAATAGACAAGTTGAGTTATATTAACATTAAGAGCTTCAGTTCATCAAAAACATTATTAAGAAAGTGAAAATGCGAGCCAGCAAAGAGTACAAGACCATGCTTGTGAAACATGTAATAGATAAAGGACTCGTATCTGGGATAATAAAGGATTCCCACAGATGAGTAGAAAAAAGACCACTCACATTGCCCCGAGTGTTGGGTGGCATGGGAATAGAAACAGGCATTTGGGGGATCCTGCTTAAGAGAATTTGAGTAGGGATATATTTAATTTGGTTTGATGAGATGTATATAGTTGGTTCCTAGTCCCTTCTGTGTACAGGTAAGTTACTGCTGGCTGTCCTGGTGGAAGAACGGCTTCTAGGAATATGTTCACCTCCCACTGCACTGATGCTCCCAGCATCCGGACACAGGGGTGAAACCTTCTAACCACCAGGCTCAACTTTCAATGGAGAAGTTGGTTTTCAATGACACTGAGACAAACAGAAGTTTTCTCCTCTCAGGAGTATATTCAGCCATGCAGACTATTAGTTGAATTCATCACATGTATTTTTATTTTTTATGAAAATCAAGTGTTATATCAGGACTTCTGTGTTTGAGAGACACAAGTCTGTAGCAGTATTATGCACGGTGACCATGTGTGTGTGAAGTCACATAGTTAATGAATCCCACACACCATGCAAGAAAAAAGACTGAACTGTCTTCATATAGCAAATGATAATACAGAATCATTGACATAGGAAGAAGAGATCAGAAAGTATGAAGTCGAAAAATGAAGGAACCACATCACATCCATTAGGATGGCTGTTATCAAAAAAGCAAAATAACAAGTGTTGGTGAAGGTGTGGAAAAATTGGACATTTTGTGCATCGTTGGTGGGAATGTAAAATGGTGCAGCCACTGTGGAAAATGGTATGGCAATTCTTCACAATATTAACCACAGAATTACCATATAATCCAGCAATTACACTTTGGGGTATATACCTAAAAGAAGTGAAAGCAGGGACTGGAACAGATATTTGTACACCCAAGTTCACAGCAGCATTGTTCACAAGAGCCAAAAGGTGGAAGCAACCCAAAAGTCCATGGATGGATGAATGGATAAACAATCACACAATGGAATATTATTCAGCCTTTATTATTCAGGAAGGAAATTCTGATACACGCTACAACATAGATGAAACTTAAAGGAGTTGTAGTAATCCAAATAAGACAGTCGAAAAAAGATAAATATTGTATGATTCTACTTACATGAGGGGGACCTGTAATGGTCAAATTCAGAAACACAGAGTAGAATGATGGTTGCCAGAGTGTGAGGGAGGGGAAATGGGGAGTTAGTGTTTAATGAGGACAGGGTTTCAGTTTGGGAAGGTGAAAAAGTTCTTGGGATGGATGGTGGTGATGGTTGCACAACGATGTAAAGGTACTTAATGCCACAGAACTGTCCCCTTAAAAATGGTTATCTTAGTATATTATACAAATTTTTTAATGAAGGAAAAAGTCTGGTAGAGGTATGTCAGGTATTATTGTGTATTTTCCTGGATTTTGAAGTGTCTATGGTATTTGTCAGCTTTTAAAATTTTGTGATTTCTTATTCTAAAACAAATTTACTTCCATAACTCACAGTTTTCAATGTCATTTAGTATTGACATGAAATTTAGTTTCCTTTTCTGAAAATGGGGCCAATAACGTATAACTTATAGAGTTAGTAACAACATTGAATGAGTTAATATATAGGATAAATATATGTTAAGTAAAATACACAAAATAAAAATATATAAAATAGATTTAAATAGTTTTAAGAGAAGCATGATTTATTGCCAAGTACTCCTTTGTGCCATGATAAAGAGGGGGGAGAGCTATAAGCTAAAAGCAAACGCTGTCAAAGCTGATAGCTGAGCCCCCTAGTTTGTGATTTCTAAGTTATCCAAATCTATCAGCAGTGAATTCTTGAGGTACTGCTTCCGTGCAGCCTTGATCACATTTTTTGGAGGTTTCAGTTTAGCTGAGCTTCACAAAATTTGCTGAATGCCTCTGGCTTACCCCACTGTGCTGGGCATTGGGATAGACACACACACAAATAAATCATACACTTTCCCCTTAGTGAGGCAATAGACACAGAAACAGTCTCAATACAGTGGGGCTGGTGGGCTCTGCTTTATTTCATCTGTTGCTCCCAAAAGCCTTAATGGCCTTATCACAGACTGAGTGGGGAACAAGGAAGGGAAACCCTTTGTGGGAGTATAATTGGGAAGGATGGGGAATCTACAGGTGAAAGGAAGGGAAGGGGTCTAGGAAAGAAAATGTAGCAGAAGTGAGGACTGGAGCCCCCTGGTGGGGAGAAGGGGTAGGAGCTCTCGGGGGCAGCCAACACCCATTGGTGGATTCTGACAAAATGGTGCCTGGGAACAGCAGAGAGCTGATAATTCAGGGCTATCCTTTATCTTAGAAAGTGTTGTTGTGGGCTTCCCAGGTGGCGCAGTGGTTAAAAATCCGCCTGCCAATGCAGGGGACACGGGTTCGAGACCTGGTCCACAAAGATCCCACATGCCACGGAGCAACTAAGCCTGTGCCCACAACTGCTGAGCCTGCACGTTAGAGCCCGCGAGCCACAACTACTGAGCCCGTGTGCCACAACTACTGAGCCCACGTGCCACAACTACTGAAGCCCGCGCATCTAGAGCCCTTGCTCCGCAACAAGAGAAGACACCGCAGTGAGAAGCCCGCGCACCGCAACGAAGAGGAGCCCCTGCTCGCCACAACTTGAGAAAGCCCGTGCACAGCAACAAAGACCCAACGCAGCCAAAAGGAAAGTGTCGTTTCACTCCCCTCTTATGGCCCTACTTTGGCAGTTTAAGAGTTTGCAAAGCCCTTTCCCACATACCTCATTCTATTTTATTTCTGCTAATGTTTGTTTTGTACATCACTGGGTGCATCACTTCTCTTCTGATGCACCTTTTTTTTTTTTTTAAGCTTTTTGGCTTTGTTGTTGTTGCCAAAATACAGTTATTAACACAAAAATTACTCCTATTCCATGTTAGGCCAATGTAAAAACTAGACACAAAAGTGCTAAATATTGTTTTCTGTTATTCTTCAGTAAATCTGGGTTTAAAAAAATACTCATAAGGTATTTTGTTTTTACACAATACTTTCCTCCTAATTCTTAACAGTACCTAAAATCACACATGCAATTAAAGCTTTATGCTCTGAACTTACTTGGGGAAAACAGACCAATTTTCAAATTAATTGACAAAATGCAGGAGTGTAAAGAGTTGGTGTCAGTATCATTTCATGATTCAACCCAAATCAATAAATTCACTGTCACTGCAGCACCGAAGAACGAGATATCCATCATTTCAATCAGAAAGGATACTGCTAAATGTATTGCTCTGACCTTGCGAAGATGGTGTTGTTATACAGCAGTTTCATCCAGGTGTTCTGGTCCAGGTAAGAGGTAGGTTAGATTTCCAGAGTCGATGGAGCCTGGCACCACTCTCTGCAGGTAGAGGGATGGCCAGGTCTTAGAGGACCTGGGGAAACCAGTCCACAGAGCTGCCAGGGAGATGCTGTGTGGTTACACAGTGCCCCCTCCTGGTCATTCCAGGAACACAGAAAACCTGGAGCATAATCATGACGAAAACTGGTGGATTCCTGAGCCTAAGAGACATAGAGATGAGGGTGTGGCTGAACGATTTTTTCTGCACCTTATGAGCATAATAATACCTGGAAGGATTGGCTGTGTCCATAAATTCCTACTGACTGGAAGCCACCAAATAAAATGGGAGATGTTGACTCCACCAGAGCAGGTCTGGCCTGGGAGTCAGGGAGACAGCCCGAGAGACTGGCGTGTGTTTGCTCACTGGGTCGAGAGCTGATTGAATCAGGAAGGGCAGGTAGAAACTAACCCTCTCTTCACCTTTGCCAGGAAATGGCACTGCTAGGCACCAGAGTGTCTAGGGCTAGGCTCAGGCACAGCAGTGTGATGAGCCTATGGCTCACTGACAGATATCCATCTTCCACTCCTTTCCAAAGAAGGATCGCCTGGGATCATCCAAAGCCCCCTCCCTTGCCTGGCCCACACTGCCAGGTCAGGACTTTGCAGGGCACTCCCTGTGACGGGCGTGGCAGCTCACAGAGACCTCCACGGCCAGGGGAAGACGTGCTTGGTCTGACTCAGGAGGAGCCTGCAGGGTGCGGCTCACTGGCATTGAAGACAACGAAGCCTAAGGAG